AGTGTCTATTCAGAAATGCTGTCTTCATGAAGCCTACATTTTGATGAGCTCGTGTTAAGCTTTCAAATTAGATGCCAGAATGGGGGAGGGGGAGGAAATTGCAAAAAAATTAGGGATCATTACTGATAATTATGTACGTATGGTTGGTCTATTCTCAGAACACCTTGAAATGAAAAACGTCATGTAAATATCTTTACCAGTGCAAGTCTGGCCAGCATTTTAAAATACTTAGAAGTGCGTGTATGGAGTCACACATAGTAGATATCAGAATAAGAAGTGTTGCTGCAGTTGCTTAAAATCTTAAATTCAGATCATGCATTGGAGAAGTTACTGATAATGCCTGGATATGGGAACCCTATGAAAGAGTGCCCAACAGATTTGAATGTGGTACATGAAGGAGTTTCCTTTGACAAATGGAGCTTTGAATCACATTGCTCAGTGTGGAAGGAGATGCCTACCACACTTTTTTTCTTCATGAAAGGTCAGACACTGGCAGAACCAGGCCACTAGGACTGCTAGAGGCAATTTAAATACAACCCATCAAGATAGCATTTGCTTTGAGCTTTTTGTATTCACAGCCTTATGCAGTGAGACTGCTTCATGAAGTCTCCCATTTAAAGCCTGATTTCTGATTTATAGTGATTTGTAACAACATTAAAATCTCCCACAAAAGACAAATTAATACTCAGATGCTTTTTCAGCACCTCCTTTGAGAAAAAGTTTTGAGCCAGTGCCAAAGAGTGGGAGGCAAGTATTTCTACTGAAACACAAATGGATGGCAAACTCTGGAATAACATTTTGGCGTGACATATGCATTGCATTTTTGGAATCTTCTTTGTAAGGAATCTGAACATTTCAATTTAACAAATCAAGCATTTCCTAATAAAATGAGTTGGTGAAAAGAAATAAACAAATACATAAAATAAAATTTAAGGATAAATGTTTTTTGCACGTTTGTGTTTAAAGCCTGTTCCCTGATCTGCCTCCCAGTTCATGGTAGTTCCAAAATGCAGAGTACTTTATTTTGGCTCTAGGCTTAATATTATATTACCATTAAAATTCCAACGAAATCCTCCAGGTTTGTAATTAGAACTAAGGAGAGACCCAGGAGTCAAACGTGAAGGATGCTGAACTTCAGCAGAGGAAATTATGGCACAACTCAGTGTGAGAAGTGTTGGATGAAATGGAATGGAACAAATCAGTGAAGCAGATGGGGAGGGAGACTATATTCAAAGATCAATTAATGCACGCCTGAGCATTCTGAGTGCTGCCATGCAGCAGTGCGTTAAGATCACATTGGTGTTCTAACAGATGCAAATGGAAGTGCAAAAACCATATGGAAGACTGATGGATTCAGACCATAGAAGACCAGTGAGTCAAATACTTTGGCTGGAGTTAAATGAAACAGAACTGTTTGATAACCAGTTAGGAGAGAAAGGTAATCAAATTTCATGTTTCAGTGTGTAAGCTCGTAACCACAGGGGTCAGCAAGTATTTTTTTTCCATCTCTGGAACCTTGCAAAATTCGATGACAGGGTCTTTGCAGGGGCTGTTCTTGCTCTTCCTCTCCCTGAGTCCTCTGGCTTTGATTGAAGCATTGGGTATGAGCCAACAGACACAAGTTGATGGTCAAATGGTCAACTAACTAGAACAAATTTTATTTCCTGTCAAAAGAGATGAAAACCAATAGATGAGAAGTGATGAATCTCAGCAAAATAAGAGTCTTACTTTACCTTCCTTATTTTGGAGGGATCCTTACATTATATGGCAGGAATAGTGCCCCAGTGCTGTCTGCAGGACTGAGCTTTTACTGATGACAAATGTGATTTTCTGCATACGTGACCGGGCTGCCAGGCAGCAGTGAAAACCAGATTATCTAATTATTTTTTCCTTAAAATTACAAGATAATAATGTTACAACTAAACAGCCTAGAAACCTTAAAAAACCAAATACTTCCTATAGCTATCCCAGTTAGTATTTCCGATTCATAAACAGTGAATCTCTTAATTAAATGGCATTCATTCAAGAATATAAGGTCCCATGAGTTAGCAGCAGATTTATACTAATGGAAACAGTGAATGCCCTCAAAATGCTCCCTAGTTATCTGCAGTGGACAAAAGATTCTATAAGGTGCCACTTTCCCCATTTCTTCATTCTGCCTTACAGATGGAATTACACATTTTTCTGCTTCCAGTCAATGTCTGAGCCAGGCAAAAGAGTAGGAGTTCACATGGCCACGTGCATGCAGCTCCACCTATGAGTTAGTTATCTAGACTATCTCTCAGTGGAGGATAAATCTCAGCATTTTAGAGCACAGTTCACTTCATCTTAAAGGCAATGTTTAAGGCTGTTCAGATGAACTGCACTGTAGAAAATATCTACTTTCCTCTTCTGACTGTATGAAGCACTCAGACAGAAATGTCTACATTGTAGGTACTAAAAGTTTGACAGGACAAATCCCATTCTTAGCGTTTCCACTATTCACGTTTCATCATTAATGACTGCAGCACTGAGGATATCTTGCTGTTGATATAACTGTTATGCCATGACACCCTGAGTACTTACTTTTGATGTAAAATAACATCTTGTTTCCAAAGCACCTGAGATCAAGTTACAAGAATTCATATGAGCACACAGAACGTTACACATTGGAACAAAACTTACTCATTTTATCCCTCAGTTTCCCCAAGAGATGCTAAAGGCACATGTTCTTCACAGCCCTCCATAAGGTAGCTGTATCCAGAAAAGGGACAATAAAACAGGCTGAATAATGAAGCAAAGAGCCTTATCATGAATTCACCTCGGTTAGTCTATGCAACCCAAACAGTTTTACCATTAACATGCATATTCAACAGCATAAAATAAGCGTGCATCAAAAGCAGAGTCTGGCCTCGCTTTTAAGAAAGGACTTGGTAAGATCAGTAGATTCTACCCTTGAGAACGTGATTTCAGGAGCTGGTAGTATAACTGGAAGGAAGCCACACACATAGCAGGGGAACAACCACAGTATTGTCATTGATGAAAGGATGGCTTGATAAGAGGAAGCTGCAGACATCATCATCATTAATTAAACACTGAAACTGGAGAGAAGAGGGTTTTGTGGTTAAAGCACTGGAGTCAAACTCAAGAGATCTGGGCTCCATCACTGGCAGCCTGAATGTGGACAAGTACCTTAACATCTCTCTTTTCCAGATCTCTATCTGTAGAATGGGAGCAAATCAATCTCCTTTCCTTTGGCAGTGCAGCGTGTAATTCCTGGTGGGGGGGACTTTTCCCTTTGCTAGCATACAGCAAGCAGCAACGAGAAAGCCTCCTTTTGGCTGGAGGTTCCAGGTGCTAAAGCCATACAAACCAATAATAAGAAATAATGGCACTGCTGATTGAAAGCTTCTCTTCCCTGAAAATTAGTTTTCAATTCATTTCTCCTCAGGATGAAATTCTATATTCTAACAGGCCAAAGACTTTTTTTTTCTTTTTCCTATTCCAGTGCTCACAATGTGGGAGGTGAAAATAGAGTTCATAATGAGAACTTGATTCTGTGGGCTCCCTAAGGAAGCATGCATGTTGCAGGGTAAGTGTCCTGCCTTAAAACAACTTTTCCTGCTACTACAGCAATGCATGAACTGGTAGAGCAAAAATAAGAGCAGGTACAATAGGTAAAAAGAGCTGTGTTTCACCTTTTTTTTTTTTAAGGCCTCTAAGTAGATGAGAAATTTTGATGTTAAGCGACATGAGTTACATCTGCTAAATCAACAAGCAACATAATGCATTTCAAGCATGAATTTTCTAGAAAATCTTTGTTCCACATATTTTCTGGTATGTCTAAATCAAACATCACCTTCCCCCCACTGCCTTCCCCTACCAAAATATCATCCCTGCCTTAAACACCTCAGATGGTGGGAGATTAATTTTTGCCACCCAGAAAATACGTTTCCCTTTCCTTTAAGAACCTTTCTCTTATCCCCACTGATGTGGCCACAGCTTTGGTTGGTTGTGACCTCGCTTCTTTTTATTGACCCTCAATATCTGAAGATAGATCCTCAGCTGAAGAACCACATCTGTGTAATGCCTCCCTCTACTGGATTTATGTGGGTGACTGAGACAGCTGGTAATGGCTGTGGGTCGCCGATAGCAATGGGGAAAAGAGGCTTTTCCACGCACATCCAAAAAATGATAGCTGGTTTCCATTGATTTTACAAGGATCAAAAGAATGTTGTGCATGCAGCTTGGCTAAACAATGGCCAAAGGGGATGCGATAACCATCTACAGAAAGCTGTGAACATGCTGGAGTTTGCAGTTAAGCAGAGTTTGAGTGATTAAATTAGGAAGGGCTGAACTTTGCGGAGTCTGGGGCAGGCGAAACTCTTGAACTTATTTTGGAGGGAGTGAGGGATTTGGGAGAGCGGGATGTCGGAGTCACAGAACTGGCCTCACTTTGCAAGCTCCTTCTTTTTTTTCCGCTTGTAATTCAAACCCTTGCTGGTTCCTTCTCCACTTTGAATTCAATTAAAAGAACATGTGTTTTTGGCTGCAGACATATCCGTGATGTGCAGTGAGGAGGAAAGAAAGAACTGTTTAAAACTAAGTAGTCACTTCACTGTGGTATCAACTGCTTTCTTCACAGAAAGTGGTAAAAATTCTGATAAAAGACTCAGATCACTGCAGATGTGAGTGCAGCCCTGCCAGCATGGCTGTGGTCCATCTGTATGTGATAGCGTGTCTCTCTGATTCCTACTGAAGCCCTGTTCCGTACCACGATATTAGCACTTCCTAAATTTGGCAAGGATTTTTTCACTTCCTCTCCCCACACCCTTTATTTTTCGGTTCACTACTATGACAACTCCATTTCACTTTTTTTCAAAATTCATCTTTATTTGGAGCATCTGTAGCCCAAAGTCAATGTGTGTGTAAAGCTCTGGACACAGCTCTCAAAGCAGCAGGACAGAGTTCATAGAATCATAGAATGGTACAATCATAGAATCATACAGTCATACAATCCTAGAATGGCCTGTGTTGCAAAGGCCCACAGCTCTCCTCCAGCTCCAACCCCTGCTGTGTGCAGGTCACCAACCAGCAGCCCAGGCTGCCCAGAGCCACATCCAGCCTGGCCTTGAATGCCTGCAGGGATGGGGCATCCACAGCCTCCTTGGGCAACCTGTGCCAGTGCCTCACCACCCTCTGCATGAAAAACTTCCTCCTCACATCCAACCCAAACCTCCCCTGTCTCACTTTAAAGCCATTCCCCTTGTCCCATCACCACCCACCCTCACACACAGCCGTTCCCCTCCTGTTTATCCGCTCCCTTCAAGCACTGGAAGGCCACCATGAGGTCACCCCACAGCCTTCTCTTCTCCAGGCTAAACGAGCCTAGTTCCCTCAACCTTTCCTCATAAGAGAGCTGCTTCAGCCCTCTGATCATCTTAGTGCCCTCCTCTGGACTATTTCCAAAAGCTCTGCATCTTTCTTGTACCGTGAGCCCCACGCCTGGACAGGGTACTCCCTCACACCAGGTTGGCACTGGGAAGACATTCACAGCCAGGTCTCATCACCACCACCTGAGCAAGCTTAATGGGAACTGAGAATATCACCAGGGCAGGGTTTCCATTGTGTGAAATGGACTGTTTTGTACACAATGACCTTTCAGAGCAGAATGGGTCTCCACAAAGGCAGAGATGTGGTTTGCTCCTGCTTGAAGTGATGGGTAATGTTGCACTGGATCAAAAGCTTGGGTGCAGAGAGAGAATGTGGGGAAATAACACTCTGCATGAAGCCAAATTATGCACAGTTCATCTGGCTTCATTAGTAATCCAAAGTGAAGTCATACTGCAAAAGAAATGTGAGAAGGAAAATCCTTTTGTGAGAGAATTTAATAAAGATTAATGACCAAGAAAGTACTTGTCTTCGTATGTGGTGGTGCCCACAAAATGTGAAATGACCCCCACGCAAAAGGCATTTGTCAAAGTCCTTTCAGAAGAGCTTTCAGGAATCCAGGTGGTTGGGGTTTCGACAAACAGGAAAACAAACCATGAGGACTGCTGCTTGCTGTACCGGATGGCTAAAACAGAGCATCAGCCACAAATCCCCATGTCCCATGGCTTGCAGAGAGCAAAGAGCTGCAAGAAGCCAAAGCTGAGGCAGGTCTGGGAACCTGTTCTTGGTTTTCTCACTTCTGGGGCCGAACCATATGCCCAAATGGAACAGAGCTGGAATTCAGAGCCTGCCTGCAGCCTGGGCAGCCTCAGCCTCGCTCCCTCACTCGTGTAAGTTCACAGGTCCCTTTGAAATGCTGGTGGAGCAGTATATTGGAACACGGAAATAGATTGAGCTACGGGTGGGATAAAAAAAACATCGGATAAGAAAAAAATAAGGCTAAGTCAGATCTTATGAGTGTTTCTCAGATCATTTGCAGAGATGTCCTCCTTTGGTTGCAGTGATTTCAGAGAACAGCCAGGGATCCTGTGGGGGTATCCGCTTCCCTACGAATGTAATGTCCTTGCTGCAGTGCCTTCAAAACACGTTCACACCCTCCCTGGATCCATCCTTCAAACTGAGTAAGGAAACATCTCTGAGGGACTGATGTCTTCCACATTATCCAGGGCCCCTTTTCCTTTTCCTAACCCAGGAGGATCTAGGAAATGAAAATGACCTAAACACAAGTGCTGTTTGCAGGTGGTGGTTTTGCTGGAAGAAGGCCCCTGTGTCTGTGTCTCACCATCAGAAAGATGCTGCCAGGGAGGTGAGCATCATCCAGACCTGCCAGGGTGGAGCTGAGGCAGGGAGTGAGCAACAGGGATGGAGAAGGGATAAAAAATAGTTGAGGAGCAGCACAGTGTTTGTTTCAGTGTGAGAGGTGGCTTTGCTAGTTCAGTGCTGTAAAAGCTTACTTTGTCTAGATTTATGGGGGAATGGTATCTTAATAAAAGTTGCAGCTGAAGAAATCATCTCTGAGCTTCCAAAAGCAGCTCCAAATTTCTCCTGGAAGTAACCTCCCCCTCATCTCACCAAAGCAGCTGCAGATGACAGCAATGTCCTGGCTCTCTTTGATGCCATTTCCCTGGCTGTTCCTCCCAGCTCTGCTGTGCTAAACCACCCCCTCTGCACAGTTGGAGTTCTCCTACAGTATCAGAGAAAGCAGCCTTCCCTTACCCAAGCCATACAAACCATCTCCATCTCCAGCCTTTTGTTAAATTGTGGTTAAAATATACTGTCAGGGCCTTGGAAGGCAACTCCTTGTTCCCTCTTTCCTGTACACTGTCCGTAATGCACATGTGTACACCATCTTGGGGACATCCCTTTGGACCATCACTTTTTGAGGGAAAGGATCGTATTGTTAGCTGTTTCTATGATATACTTGCCAAATGGTAGCAACAGATATCTCTTAGTGCATCACTGGCTCCCAGTGACAAACATCTTCACCGACATCCAAAACCACAAGTGCTCTACGGATCACAGCTATTCTCATCTCTACATTAGCTGCCTTTTACCCCCAATGGAATGTGAATAGATTTAAAATGCAGGAAGTCACGATGAACTGAAATATTAATATAATTTCAGGAAGCCTGGGTACAAACATAGGCATGGACTTCCATGGGTATGCCATGTTGATTGATTCTACAACATGATTCTAGGTAGAGAAATCTGGAACAAAATGTCTGGGCGCAGTGGCAAGGCTGCATTTAGCTCTGAGGATTAACTTACAGTGATCTCAGATATTGTTTACATCATTGTACGCTCATAGGTAACCCACTGTTTACTACAGTTAAAAACATTTTAGTCTGAAAAGAAAGTTGGATTGGAAAATGTTCTTTTGCATTGCAAGCTTTCTTTAAAAGGATTGTTGATTGCCCCAGTGCCTGACGTGCAAGTGAGTTAATAATGAGGAAGACTGGTAGATTCTGATGTGCCTTGAGGTGATGTCTTTGTTTTTAACTCTCTGGTGTCTCAAGCTGAGCAAATAGCTGAGCTGGTTCAGTTCATGGTAGGGTTTGCCCCTGTGCAAATAGCATTCAGCCACTGCCCATATCTGGTGCTTTATCTCATGTTTGTAGAAGCGAGCAAAGCCAAGAAGAAAACTGATGCAGTGTCTTTGCTGATGTTACTCTTGACTCCAGGTACAAACATCCTGGCCATTCCCAACTAACATTTCAGCTTTGTCCTACACAGGGCAGTATTTATCCTCCCTCATAGGGTTTGTGTGTCAAGTATGCTCTGGCTGATGGTGTAAGTAATGAATTCTCACTTTTTCAGAATCTCACGCTTTGCATATCAACCTAATTCCATTTGAAGTTGTGCCAAACCTCTCCATTAGGAGAAAAATTTCATCCTTTGGTAGTGTATATGGCAAGAGATGTCTCTTAGTCCATCCAGCAAAATTTCCTCTGAGTGGCCTTCCTGCTATGGCTCAAGCTGCTTCATTACCCAACTCATCGAGCTACAGTGCAAGTTGCAATCCTATGCCATCTCTTCTCTGCACGGTGCTCCTGCCTGCTGATATGAGCAGGTAAATTTGAACTATCAATTATGGAAGATCTCTGAATTCTGATCCTCCAGAGGACACCACATTATTTGTCAGAAATGCTCTTCAACAACCTGTGGCAGGTTTGTGAAAGGCTCTGAGCTCGGGGACATTGTGACTCAAGTTTAGGAACTTAACATATATTCTAATCAGTAATTCACAAAGGTACAAAGTGTTCTGGTTTACTCTCCCAAGGCTGATTCTGTAAATGATTCTACTGTGCACCAATAAATCTTGTTTCATCAGTACAGCTCCAATATATATAGTTGAATGAATGGGAAGGGCTAGCAAGCATGGTGGCAGAGATGCATGTTGGCCACGAAGGTGCCCCATTTCCATAGAGGTTCTACAAACAGAAGATGGGAAGCACCTTCCCATCGACTCCAGCACTGCAGGATCTGGATCTACAATCACTTTTCTGATTGCAGACATACTTTGGTCTGCGTTTGCTCTCCTTGGCAGTGATTTGTAATGTGATTATAATGTATATTTACACACACACCCTCTTAGCACTGGCTGCCGAGCCAAACTAGGAAACGCTGCTGAAATAATAAAAGCAGCTGATCCCCTTCCTGCTTGAAGGTTAATGCTGCACGGTGAGTGAAAGACTTTTAAGAGTTGTTTTATTAAGGGAATAAATGGAAACCAGGAGGTGTTTTAATGTCAGTGATTTCACAAAAAACTTGGTGTGGGGATTTTTCTTTTTCTTTTTTCTTTTTTTTAATTCCTTCTTTTCTCTTTAGAACAAATCCCTGTTAAGAACAATAAGATTTTGTGACATCTCCTCATGGGAAAATGGAGAAATAAATCTTTCACTGTCAGTACTCAGATTGGAGGGAATGGGACTTGAGAACCCAGGATTCCTGGTGGAGGTCAATCGGGGGAGATGAAGAGCAAGAGAAAAAGGTTAAGTAGATCAGCCTGGTGCTGTATCTGAGACATTTACACTACACGGGTGTGCAGATGCAAGCAGGAAGAACTTGGATCTCTCCATCACTCCACCTTCCAAAGTCACTGAATCTATCTATAGGTGGAAGTGCAGAGCCCTGAGTTGGTGGAGGCTGTGAGAGCACACAGGAACGGGAAGGGGAAATTACTGTGTAGGACCAAGCTGGCTGAACTCTGTGCTGCCTGGTACTGCTGTGTCAGCATCCTTGGAGCTTTTGGACATGGACGGGGCCAGCAGAGCTGTTTGACACTGGCAGGGTTTTGTGGCACTGGGCAGGATCCAGCTGCTGAGTTCCTGGCTGCCGTGGGGACAAGGATTATGGATTTAATGCACCCTCATGCTTACCCCAGTGTAAATCAGAAGCCACTCCACTGATTTCTTTGGCATGGAGCCAGCCCAGCTCCTAATGGGGCCATTCATAAGAATCCCATTACCCTTCCAGGGGGGAGTGTGGACGCAGCCCTTGCCTTGGGAGGTTGCAGTCAGCCCGGTGGGGTTATCCTGTGAACAGGAGGGAAGAACCAGCCCTCGGGCCTTTCCTTTCTAATTCTGAGCATGCTGCCAGCACTTAACCATGGCAATAATTATCCCGCAAGCCTGGAATTCCCTTCTCAGGCTGCATGGAGTGACCCCTGAGAGAAACGGCTGCAAGAGTACAGGAGACCCAAGCGGGCTGCCCACCGGTTTGTCTGAGCACGCATAGACAGCCTGTGGGATGCAAACAAAGGGGTGGCTAATTTCCTGGAGAAAGCTGCAGGAAATCATCTCCTCAGCACAAATCTGCCACGTCAGGTGAGAAAAAAGGGGAAGCTTCCAAAACAACTGCCTATTTGGATTGTATACTCCGCACGCAAATTAACCTCTT